CAACACAGATATGTATTATTGAAAGTCTAAGAGGGACAAAAATCCAGACTTCTAGTTACTTTGTCAGTTCTCAGGATAAAAGTGAAAACCCCTGTCATAGTTTATGTCCATGGTCCCAGGCCTCATGCTTTTGCATTGTGCATTTGCGATTGGTTCATTGTCTAGCACATGGATTGATGGTGTCAGTGCTACACCCGCCTAGGGGTGGAGCCAGCATACAATATAATGGCTGGAAGAAGGCATGTCTCTCATTCTCTTGCAGTTTCTGCCTTGCTGTTTGCAACTGCCATGAAATGCGGCCCTGCCACACCACCCTGCCTTGGAGCCAACTGAGTAGGGACTAAAACCTCTAAAACCTGTAAGAAATAAACCTTCCTTTCCAAACATTGGGAATCAGGTATTTTGTCTCAGAGGCAAGTAAAAAGCAACTAAAACAACCCTCTGACTTCTGCAAGATAAAGTTGAAAACCCCTCTGACTTCTTAGATCATTTATCAGAGGCACTAATAAAACATATGTCCATAGATCCTGATTCGTTAGAGGGACAGATTTTGCATAGCCTTTGCTCCAGATAGTTCACTTGATTCTTTAGTAAAAACTGCTTTCTTAGTATTCTATAATCAGGACTGGGAGAAAAACAAAGAGAGAAAATAAAGAGACCAAAAAATGGTTGCCTTTATTGTGGCCTTAAAAACACAGACCTGAAGTCGGATTCTCAGGGTTCCAAGAAGAGCTTGACAACAACACCTACCTGCTATCGCTGCCACAACCCAGGCCACTTTAAGAGAGACTGCCCTAGGAGGCCCCCCAAGCTATGCTCTGACTGCAAAGGGGGCCACTGGCAATCAGACTGCCCCTGAGGCCAAAGCCCCAGAGTTCAGACCCATCCTACCAGCTGGCCCATAGGACTAAAGGGTGTGACGGCACTCTTCTCCTCTCTCTGGCCAGACTGTCATCTCTGTCTATCATCTCCTGTGAAGTAAACATGACAAGAGATAAAAACCAGCAGATTGCTGGACACTGGCATATGTCTCTTTGTCCTTAACTCTGGTATTTCTTCCAGGCACTGTGCCTCAATACAGCTACAAAAATATAGGCTACTTAAACTATAATTGGCATAACTTTCTCTTCATGCATTCCTCTTAGTTATGCATAAAAGCCTGACTCCAATCCTGGAGAAATTTTACACTGTCTAAATGCTGTTTTATATATCTACATATAGATAGATAGATAGATGCAAGTTGGCAACTAATCAAAATGATGCTGAAACTAATTTTTACAAATATAGTACATATTGTTGTTTATATATAAAAACTTATGTATTAATCTGGTTCTCCTACATTATCAAAAATTTAGAGGTAATTATAACTAAAGCTAGAGGGATTCATGACAGAATGTTAGATTCCATCAATAAAGGGATCTAAGTATCAATGAGTTAAATTGCTATAACTTAGAAATAGTTTCTAAACTTACCTGTCAACTCTAATGCTAATGGTTTGATTATATATCCCTTTGTATATACTCTTTGATTAGACATGCTTTGATTAAAGTTTGTTCTTGCCTAGAAGTTGCCAAACCCCAAGTCATCATAGAGATAAAACCAATATCCACCAGATCTTGTCAAGAAAAAGGTTATACAATGCATATTGAAACCTTAACAAACTATACTTAACAGGCCTTAAATGACATTGTGGCTGATCTATCTTGTAAATAAAAAAGGTAAAATTAATAAAACAGGCCATCCTCCAAAATCAAATGGCATTAGACATTCTAACAGCACAGGAGGTAATTGTGCAATTGTAAACACTGAATGCTATGTGCACATTCCTGATCCTTTTGCTAATATCTCAATTAACTGTTTAAAATATTAGATGACAAATCAATGACATGTCAAATTCTAAAATTTCTTGGACCTTGTCCTTACCTTCCTTATGGGAAGCCATTCCTAGCTCCTCTTGGTGGAACTGTTTGTTAACTGTTCTGATTATAATCAGATCTGTTATCTGTATTGGTATGTTTTATCTATTATCTATGTTTTCTATAATCTAGCTTTTGTTTTTCTCTTTAATTAGTTTGTTCTGTACTTTGAATTTCTCATGTAAGAGAAACCATGCAATATTTAAGTTTTATTTTTTGCAATAGAGTCGTTCAGACTGTGGTTCAGACTGGCCTTGAACTCACTGTGTAGTCTAGGCTGTCTTCAAACTCATGATAATAACAAAAATAAGTATCTAAATTATGTTTATAAGGTAATTTCAAAAATGGAGAAATACTACAAAAAATAAAACAGGATGATAACAGAGAAAGAGGGAGCATGACAGTGCTATTTCCAAAGGTTAATCAGAAAAGAACTCACTGAAAATACATGAGCAAAAATCTGAAAGACAGGACGACCAACATCAGAAAATAGGAATAAAGAGTTTTCAAAAAAAAAAAAAAAGTTTTCAGACAGACTCACACACAAAATTTTTTAACTTCACTCTTCCTCATCATATTACTTTCATTCAGTTGTACATTCCCTTAATATTTTTAAACTATTGTTTCTATTTTTGTTTGACTTAGAATAGCCAAATACTACTAGATTTCTTTAATTCTGTTTAGTTATTTCCAAGCTGTATATATATTATTCCAAAACAAACTGCTAAAGACCAAAAAACTTAATCATCCCACAGGGTTTTCCATTCAAAACAAAGCATCCAATCCAAATGATTTTAGTGAAGTGACTCAATGTTTTAATATGCAGGCAGAAAACAAATTATTTTTTTTATTAGCAAAATTTACAACTGTCCTCTACCACAGGAAATTCAGAGGAAATCCCATGGCAATAACTTAATAGCTTTTCCCTTCTATATACTAGTGTGGTCTAGAGAAAAGGCAAAAACAAAGTTAATGAACTTTTAACAGGAATTTACAGGAATGTCGAAAGATAGTTTATGGATGTTTTAAAGGTGATTTCACAAATTTAGAAAATTTACAACTGTTTTCATCTAACTATTGATCTTGCAAAATTCTGCAAGAGTAAAAAATCTTTAGCCTAAATGACCATAAATGAGAATTCACAATCTAACATTAGGCTGTTTAGATGTTTATTGATCTCAACTGGTATCCTTCATTCCCAATTTGAGAAGCCAATATGGCATTGTTTAAGTACTGTCTCATGTTTGATTTTAAAATGTAACATTATCCAAGAATTAAAAATAAAACAGACCTAGAAACTAGTATGCCCATCCCTCAACTTTGACTCACTTATGACAAAACAAGTGACAAGGGATCTTACAGATATTCCTACAGGTTCAAAAAATGTTTTTCAAAAGAAAAGGAATAGAAAATGGTGTTTTTTCCTTAATACTATCTCATTTTAATTTTTCAAATTTTTCAGTATTATATGAAAGACACAAATCAACAGCACACAAGACTGATTTTACATCTCTGAATGACCTAAACAATATTTTGTCCCACCCAAAGCCCTATTCAGATAATGCTTCTGGGGCTGGAGGCAGAGTTCTATAGTAGAACACATATTTAGCTGGTGCAAATCCTTGGTTTGATATGCATTACACGAACATGTGTGTACACACATACATACATATAAACACTACTTGATCATGCATCTTCTAAAACATATATTTCATTCAAATACATCAACATTTATTACACTTTTTTGTTTTGTTTCATTTTTCTTGATTGTTTTGTGTTTTGGTTGTTTGCTGGGTTTTTTGTTTGTTTTTTGGCAATGGTGAGGATTGATCCCGGGCCTTCACATACACTAGATAAGAGCTCTACCAATGAGCTGTAACCTCAGCTCCCTCATACTGTTAAGTCTAATTTTCTTATTACATTTTCTTCACCAGGACAAATGATTTCAGATTTGAGCTCCAGCACCAAAAAGAAAAACAATAGCTATAAAAACATGTTTGACAGATACCAAACACAGCAGAGACACAGGCACTGTGTCTTTCCAATGGCTCCTCTATAGAGGGTGTTCTAAAAATGGACCTTCCAATATAAAGAAACATAAAGGATAGAATAATAAAAAATAAAGTTCTTTTCCACCATAGGCTATAAAGGTACACTTCAGTATCTTCTTCTAGTAATAGTACAATTTTACCTTTTACATTTAGATCTTTAATTACTCTAGACTCAGTCTTTATATGTAGTATTAAATACATATTCAATTTTATTTTCCTCTATTCCAGTTCTCACAACACAGTATATTGAGCAATTTGCCTTTTCCACACTGCTTTGTGACAGAAAAATTTTCAGTACCATTGAAAGCTAAGTAGAGGAAGGTAAAGAGGGATTTAAAGATAGAAATGAAAGAAGGAAACAAAAGCAAAAAAAAAAATCCAGGTACATTCAGAACTTAGCAAAGGAAGTTACTATAAATAATATATATATAATAAATGATAATATATATAAATATAATATATAAATAAATATATGTAATATATATAATATAATATAATAATATAATAAATGAAGTTACTATAAATTACATGATAATTTAACTTATTCACTAAAGTATGTAAGGGCCAGGGACATAGCTCAGTGGCACAAGCACTTGCCTGGCAAACATGAGCTTGTGAGTTCAATCCCTGGTACTAAAAAAATAAAGTATATATGAAGTAAACAGCAAAGGAAAATTGATTTTTTTAATTGCATATACCCTCAAAACTGCTCAGCAAATGCTTAATTTATATCACAAACAACATCAGTGGTTTTCAGAGATTAGACCATCCTCCAGTAACCAATAAAATGGATATTATACTCAATTTCACTCTTCAAACAGAACAAAAATGAAAATAAACCAGACACATTATAAGGATCCAGAGGATTCTTTTCTAAACTTCCATTTTCCTTAAAAATGGAAATTTTTAAGTCACTTTAAAACATCTTTATCAGATTTTTTAAATGTGAATTTAATTTACAACTCTTTATTCCATTAATGACAATGAAACAAAAATATAAATTATTCCCCATAAAAAAACTGTACAACAATACCTTTTATTTTCAGCCAAAGTGGCTCCTTCATCCTTTAACTGTTTGCTTTTCTCAGCACAGCCTTGGAGAAGAATCTCTTTCCTTCGTTTAATGGCATGAAGCCAGTTCCCATCATCGTTCTCAACCACATCCTTCTCATCAGCAGCTTCGGCTTCAAACTGTTGAGAAGTGGCCCTGGAGACCTTCTCACCAATTTTCCTTTTCCACCCAAAGGACGCCATTCTGGAAAATCAGAAACAAAGAGCTTTAAAATTCAACTTGACCTTTTATAAAAGTGTAAATAAATGAACTAATAGGCAATTAAGGAATAATAGGTAAGACTATCATCATTTTTTAACTACTAGATAGTGGACCGAAGGTGATTATCAAGTGCTGCTAAATCACAAAGAAAGACAACTGCATATTATACATTACTGAACCTCCTGACCGACATCACCCATAAAGTACCTTGAAAAAAAGTAATCCTAAGTCAGATCAGGCCTCTACCCGTTTACAAGAAATACTGCATATAGTTTAGCAAACCCAATAACACATCAGAGATGCAGGCAGTAGAAACTAAAGAAAAATAAAACTGGTTTCTTCAAGAAATAAACTATCAAAAGAGGAGGAAATGGAAAGAAAGGCAGAATCTTCTAAATTAAGAGAGATTTAAGAGACATAGTAGCCAAATACAAAGTCGAGCTCTTGTTTCCATCTCAATTCAAAAAAAGTCAATGATGAAAAAGCATTTATAAAGAAGCAAAGTAAGAACACTGATTTCCTATTTGACATTACTAAGGTATTACTATGCTATTTTAGACATGAACATACAACTGTGACTGTTTATAAAAAGAACCTTTTCTGAGACTATTGGGGAAGAGACATGAAATAGGGAACAGTGTAAAAGATAATTGCAGAAAATAGGGGTAGATATGATCAAAAATAACATATCCATGCATGAATATGCCACAATCAAGCCAATTATGCTGTGCTGTTAATATGCACTATTAAAAAAAGCTAGAGCAAACATTAACTCATAAATCCTGGGGAAAAAAACTAGAAAACACGTACTGAAATATTTCATTATGAAATTATATATAGGAATTGTTTCAAAGTTATATGGGTAGGGAGTGCAGTACAGAGGAAGATACAAATGAAATAAGATTGAATTGATAACTGATGAAATTGAGAGATGAGTATATATATAATTCATTGTACTTCTCTCATGTGCTGAAATCTCCCATAACTTAAAAAAAAAAAAAAAAACTTTAAAAGACCTAATGTTGATAAGTGACTTAATACACAGAACTTACTAGGTAAGTCCAAAAATAACAAATGTTAAACTGCTTGGTAAATCTGTAATAGTATACAAAAGTAAATAATATAAAAGATAAGCAATAGAACAAAGTTAAGGAAAATGCTGGAATATTTAACAAATATTTATGTAGAGTAGGTATTAATTGAGGGATTCAAGAATTTACTCTTTGCACAGATGGGTTTCAGAGTACTGCAGCATGGTTAAAATCGTTTATAAATGTTTTATATTCTGTGGAGCACTCTGGAGAGAATATCTAAGCTGTCATCCCATTCTTAAAGCAGTCTGTAACCTCAAGGAGAACACGGTGAACTGATTGATCAAGACAAAGGGGGGAAAAAAATGTACCATTCAAGTGATTTTTGCAGGGTGTGTAGTGTACACATCTACAATGCCAGCATTTAGCAGGCAAAGGCAGGAGCGTCATTACAAGTTTGAGGCCAGCCTGGGCTACCCAAGAAAGTTCAAGGTCAGTCTGCACTATATAGTGAGACCCTGTCACAAAACAAATAAAAAATGAACCAGAGACCTATCAAAGAATGAGCATTATGAATAAAGGAAGGAGAGAAATAAAATAGTAAAATTGTTTTGGGGACCTTGCTTTTTGAGATTGAGTCTTGCTATGTAGTCCAGGCTGGTCTCTAACTCACAGCAATACTCCTGCCTCAGTAGGCCAAATGCTGAGATTATAGGCATGCACCACCACACCTATCCTAGACATCAAGGTCTTTATCACTGACATATATGACTGACACCTTGCCCCTAGCCAATCTGAACAGTGGATTGCTAAGAAAATGGGGTGTCATACGTCATTAAGTTGCTCAAGGTATAAATGAATACCCCTGCATTGAGGGGGCAGTCCTTTTCCTCGATTAAGAGAGTAAGGGCTCAGCTAGTTTGAGACCCTCGCTCGGCCCGGCCAGGGATCTCCGCGGCTCCCTGTTGCACTGGACCAGCTAGGTGGGACTTGAACCAGCCTGTATAAGTATCGCCAATCGCTGACAGGCATGGCGGACTCCGGAGTTCTCGGCCTGCCAGCACTATTGGTTCAAGAGGCTGGACAGCCTGGAGTGAGTATCCCCACACCATCTTCCAAGCCCAGCTAGTTTGGAATCCTCGCTTGGCCCCAAACAGGGAATTTCGCAGCTTCCTGTTGCACTGGACCAGTTCAGCGGGTCTTGAGCTGGCCTGCCCCAGCCCCAATGACCCTCTCTCAATCCGGGGAACAGGGTGGCCAGAGTCCCAGGAGCTGAGGTCATAGAAGAGGATTTCCAAAAGGCCCTGTGGGGCCTTGGAAAAACATTTGAAACACAGAAACAGGAAAATGGTAGGGAGCGGCTCAAAATTGCGGATGCTGTCTTGCCCCTCCCACCTGAGGGCATTTTGTGTGTCTGCCTACGTTTCCCATGATCCTCCTCTGCCTATGACATGCACGTGGTAGGCACCCTTTTCCTTCAGCCTACATCTCCCATAATTCTCTCCTGCTCACATACTTCCACTTACCTAGTTGCCTACACATCATTTCCTGCTAGTCTGATAGGTCCACATCATATGAGAAGATCCAAGCTGACCTATCCTATAAAGCCACATTCCCTTGGACTTTATATAAGCCATGTACACTTCCTAAATAAATGAGACTTATTGGAATCATTCAACTTGTCTCCATCTCTCTTCCTTCTTGCCCTGCCCCCATCCCCGTTCTCTCTCCAGGCAAGACCCAAAGACTGATCCATGGGCCGGATCAGAAAATGACAAAACGAAAGACCAAATTACAATCTCAGACCTCCAGTCCATCACAAGAAAACTTAGGAGCTACTGTACATAGAAGAAAATATATGCCATATACCTGAAATATCGGATATAACAGCAACTGAAATAAAGAAGCAACTCCAGGAAGCTTCAAAGGAACTCAAACTAGAAATAATCGCATAAAAGAAGAAATGATAAAAGAAATGAAAGAGATGCTGAACATATCTAAAGAAGACACAGTTAAAAAATTGGAGGAACTAAAAAAAAAGAGAGAGAATCCCTGGATGAACAATATAAGAAAGAGAATACATGAAGCAGATACAAAGAGATATACAGGAAATCAAAAATTCCATTTAAAGTTGTAAAAACTTAATCAATGAATGTGAAGATAGAATTTCAGACCTCGAGACAAGATTGCAGCTAGTGAACATGAAAGGAAAGATCTTTTAAAAATAACAAGAAATCAGGGGATGGGGATTTAGCACAGCAGCATAAGCGCCTGCCTTGCAAGTAGGTAGTCATGAGTTCGATCCTCAGTACCGATAAAAAGGAAAAAAGACAAAAAAAAAAAAAAAAACAAGAAATCAGGAAATAACAATTCAATAGCTGCAAGGTGATGCAAAGAAAACAACATAAGATTGATATGGATAAATGAAAAAGAAGGGGACAACATAAAGGATGTCAAGAGGATATTTAGAGAAGTAATAGTTGAAAATTTCACAAACATGAGATTAGAAATTGATATCAGTATCAGTGAAACATACAGAACTCCAAATAGCCATAACCAAAATAAAACTATACCCAGACATATCATAATCACCATACTAGAAATCCAACAAAAGAGTAGAATATTAAAAGCTGTCAGAGAGAAAAGACAGATCACCTATAAAGAAAAATCTATCAGAATCACAGCAGACTTCTCAGCACAATCAATAAAGTCAGGAAGAGCATGGAGTGAAGTATTCCATTTCCTAAAGCAAAATGATTTCCAACCTAGACTGATGTACCCTGAAAAACTATCATTCAAAATTGATGGAGAAATAAAATACTTCCATGACAAAGAAAAACTGAAGAACTTCACGATCACCAAGCCAACCCTGCAAAGAATACAGAAAGACAGTTTAGATACACTTAGGAAAAAAACCACTAAGCAAAGCAGACAATTAAACAGAACAAAAAGATAAAGATGCAACAAGAGAAAGACAATATGTCAACAATAAACCAACATAAAACAGTTGTAACCATTAACATAAACGATCTCAATGCACCAATTAAAAGAAACAGACTGGCAGAATGGATTAAGAAACAAAATCCAAACATATGCCATCAACAAGAAACCCATCTAATCCAAAAGTATACTCACAGACTGAAAGACAAAGGATAGGAAACAATATTTCATACAACAGGAACCAAAAAAAAAAAAAGCAGGGACAGCTATTCTGTTTGCAGACAATGTGAACTTCAAAACAATAACAATCAGAAGAGATAAAGAAGGTCACTACATACTGGGTAGGGGAAAACTTCAAGAGGAAGCGATAACTATCTTAAATATAAATGCACCAAATTCCAGAGCAGCCAGTTATGTAAAACAAGTATTAACAGAAATGAAAAACCAAAATAGCAGTAATACAATTACAACAGGAGACGTTAACACACCATTGACACCAAGGGACAGATCAACCAAACAGAAAATTAGCAAAGAAATAACAGAACTGAATCACACCTGTGAACAAATGGACTTAATAGACATATACAGAGTGTTCCATCCAACAACATCAGAATACACATTCTTGTCAGTAGTACATGGGTGATTCTCTCAAACAGAACATATATTAGCTCACAGAACATATTTAAATAAATGGAAAAGAGTTGAAATTACCTCTTGCATGTTATGGGATCATAGTACCATGAAATTAGAAATTAATGGTAAAAGATACTGCAAAAATCCCACAAACACATGGGAAACTGAATAACACACTCTTGAGTAATCAGTGGGTCACAGGGGAAATTAAAAAGAAATTAAACTATATCTACAAGCAAATGAAAATACAAATACAACTCACCGGACTCTGTGGGATGCAATGAAAGCTGTCCTCAGAGGAAAATTTATTGCACTGAGTTCCCATATCAAGGAAACACAATGAATACAAATAAATAACCTGATGTTACACTTCAAACA